GGATGGGCAATCCGACGTAGCGGCCATGTCTACACCTAGTTTGCGTGACCTATCTGCAACACGTCTCAAGACGCAAAGATGGTATTTATCAAAGGCAGAATTGGTTAAATTTATGCAGTAACTGCAAGCGTGAATCAAGCGCACAAGGCGAGTACAACTAGGGCATACCACATGCGGATCCAAGCGGAAAAGCGTAATGTACAAATAGTACAGTTTTTCATCAATGTAAACCTAGCTGAACAATCACGAACTCACGTGAATAAACAGCAGAAATACGATTAATTATTAATGCAAATAACTGAAGGATACTAGCTATACCTTTATAGTAAACTATAAAAGGTAACTAACTAAGAAAAACCAAAGGATATAGTGTGTAAGGAGACACAGGCGCTCTCACATCCTGCTCACTGGGCGAAGAAGGAGAGAGTGAAGCATGAGGCCAGAGGGTGGCGACACCTGTTCCCGCGCTTACGGCAGGGGAGGTAACTCGTGGGTGAGTACCAATTAGTGATTTTACATTGAAGGGAGCTTCAATTAAGGAGATACAAGTGTTCCACTATGTTCGCAAGAGGAAGGGGACAAGCAAAAGAGCATGAGTCAGGATAAGGAAAAATTTGAGGTTTTGTTAAACGACAAGTGAAATACAGAAACATTTATATTGACAAAAAACAAATACAAAATTATGGTAACAATTTTATTACTCTGTTTATACTCATAATTGTGTACACCAGCTCTAAACTTTCGAACCGATCAGTCGTTTGGCAGCCACATTCCATCTAAGGTCGAGGTCATTTGTACAACCAGCGTATTGTGGCACATGAGAGAGTTGATGGGGTGTGCGGTTCGTACACCATGGTAAATCCGCCTACATGGTTTTGTATGCCTTGGCTATTGCCCAATCAGAATTTATACAAACCTGTAGAGGTTATGAATTCTTTGAAGAAAGTCCTCCTTGGGGTACTTATAAGCATTAAAATGTCCATTTTGAAACCTACGACAGTTGTAACTATATTTCAATAAAAATATTTACAAAACGAAAAAACACGTTCTGCGTTATGAGACCACCCCTACAGGGCCCCAGCGGGGCCCCCTACCGGCAAGAGCAGGTAACTCTAGCCGACAACCTCGCACCTCACTTTTCATGCTGAACGGATCAGACAGAATGAGGGGAGGCGGGTGGCCGTACCCCAAGGAGGACTTTCTTCAAAGAATTCATAACCTCTACAGGTTTGTATAATTCTTTTTCAGAAGAAGTCCTCCTTGGGGTACTTATAAGCATAAAACAGACTCCCAAAGATCAGAAAACCGGGAGTGGCATTCTGTCTGACACACTGGTCGAGCGCAGTAACGCGTAGTACAGCCGTATGAAAATAGAAATCACACTTACCCAGTCACGTGTCCGCCAATGTCAATCAAGGCGGGGGGCGTGACTAAGGCGAGGACCCTGGGAGGTCAAAGCTTAGTGCCCATTGGTCAATCGGTACACACCCCCAAGATAAAAACTACACCTCCCATCCTGATTGGTGGAAGTGAGTAAAACTAGGGACTTCGCCAAAACAAACTACTGTCCATAGCACACGCTAGCCAAGCGGGAAAAATGGAAAATAGAAGCCAAAGGCACCGATACCAAAAGAACGGAAATAAAAACCGCCACCACATACCTTCACCAGTGCAAAATAGGGAAGAATATACCCGACACCAGTATAAAACAATGAGTAAATCAGCCACAAGGCTTACTCGGCCTGAGGCGTGCTACTCTGTCCACTGTGGAGAATCGTCTGGCCAAACCGAGCACAGCTCGCGAATGTTTGTCCAGCTGATAATGGCGAATGAGCGTGCTTTCGGTCGGCTCCAAATAGCCGCAGAGCATATCTCCTCAATGGGCAGAGCAGCCGCATACGCTTTGGGCGTGGCAACTGCTGCTCGAACCGAATGAGCCTTTAAACCCTCTGGAAGTCATACCCTTGTGTATGTAACCCATACATATTGACCACGATCCACCTCGATATGGTCTGTGTGGTAACTGGGTGACCTACTTTACGCCCGTAACAGCAGAATAACTGCTTATCTTCACGGATTGACTGTGTTCTCTTGACATCGTCTTAAGTGTCTTACGCACATCCAACACATGTACTCTAAACTGCGCTACCAGACGAAGCAGGAAGCGTAAAGGCAGGTAAATCAATAGGGCGGTGACATGAAGCGGCTTTATCGATTTTGGCGGTAGGAATCAGGTAGTTTAATACTTACCCTAAAACGGTAGAGTCGCCGTCCACGCCTCCTGGTCCACCCCAGCTTCCTCTGCAGGGCCGGTCGGCAGAGGTATGCTGAGTGGACTGAAACCTTTTAGGTGTTGAGCGGCGTTACGGTATTGTTCCTCAAAGGAGCGATAGACCGACTTCAACACCTGGTTGTTAGAAGTAAAGGAGGAAACAACTAGGTGTTTGACGCCGACCCTGGTTGTTAAGTAAAGGAGGCTGACCTGACTGAAGAAACCGGCACTGGCGTGGCTATGGCCAGATGACCCTCCCAGGGCGACTGAGGCATAAATACACTCGTCTACCACCGGGGTCAGTAAAGCCCCCTCTCCCATCAGGTAGCGCCCGGTTCAGCTCCGGAAGATCGGCGTGACCGGCCTCCTGAGAGGAGAGGGTTAATAACCTCACTGATCAGTGACGGTAAAAATCGCAAGTGGGCCTCGGCGACCGACACGAACAAGCGCCTCCCGGGAGACGAAACTCCGCGGGGTCGGGTCGTCTGGCGGCTGACGACCACCCTGCGGCAAAAAGGGCATAATCGTTCCCTTACTTGCCGCAGGGACGGACCAAGCGAAGGAACCTTCCCCGGCGTCTCATGCCCCGTCGTCATCCATGGCTTCCTCCTCCGCCTCCCGACAGCGAACTCGGTATCCAGAGTCGCCCGAGCACGGAAGTCGGTTCCACAGACAAAGATAGGGGAGCCATAAGAGCCAAGGCGCCTGGCCCGACCGACCCTAGGCTCGAGGTTGAGCCAGGGTGCCGAGGACCCAGGGAAGAGCCTGCGAGACAGGATTCCCGAAGGAACGTAAGGCCCGAGTCGACCCGGTAGCACCGGCATTTCGGGGAAACCCCCGCTTGTGAGTTGGTAGCAAAGCGGTACGAGACCGGTATCAACACGCTAGTACTCTGCGCTGAGCGGAGCGAAGCTCGGGCCAGCCACAGGCGCACCAGCAGAGGGGTCACCAGAGCCAAGGCTCAAGGTAACGACCCCTCCGGGTAGAACCGTCCCCGGACCGGAGCCGAGGCAGGGGAACCCCGACAGGCGACCTCGGAGCACCGCCAACTCGAGCGGAAGCCGATCTCCTCACGGAGACCCGGACATCGGCGTCGAGATCAGCGGCGAACCCGAAGTCATCTGTTGCTGCAATATGGATGTTAAATCATTAATACATCACGGGTGCAGATTCTGATTGAGTTGTGGAAGTGGAGGGATAGGGAAGAAGGTTTAACCGCCGTCTTGGCCCGCTTACCCCCACCCCACTAGAAGAAGAAGAACTCTTCTTACTTTTAGCCACTTTAGATGGTGGGTCCTGTGCCCATAAGTCCCCCCCCGCCTGCAGCAGATTTGTATAAAACAAAAGTCTGCGGAGCGACGCCGTCGTCTTTGGTGAAAATCTGGCAGTTCTCACACGATTGATCATCATGATGTTCAACAGCCAAACAAAGCGTAGGCACACATCGTCGCGAATCCTGAGGTGGCAACATTGCGCATGCATGCCGCCGCGGGTGAAACTGTAACAAACAGAACCATTTATCATGGAAACTGATGTACAGTCTAAAAACACACATATATGCAACACCGTAAAATATAATACGCCGCGGGCGATAAACCCTATGTGAAAAGCTAAGGCAGGTTTACCCTTTAACATATCATGAACAAGGGTGAAAATGCAAGCTTCCTGCGCTTAACATATATAGCGTAAATGTTATATGAAAAACTTACCCCAACTCACCTTTTGCTGAAAGTGTAAGCGTTAGGCAAGCCTACCATAGTAATAATAAGAAATTACCCTCCCCTAGCGATGTAACTTAAAAAAAGTTACAACCGTGGGACAGAAGGAAGCCAAACCGACCGCCATCTTGCCTGCCGCATGGCTGGAAAATGGAGCCTGTCCGACTAAGTTACAACAATCATGAATGAAAAAATCAACCTACAATTCCACTAAAGCCCGTGCGAGAGAAAAGAGGAACCATACATACATTAGTTGATTCTGTACCACTCATTTTGATTTCTTTTCACAATGAACTACACGCACGTCTGTCTTCTGAGACGACAGCATGAAAAGTGAGGTGCGAGGTTGTCGGCTAGAGTTACCTGCTCTTGCCGGTAGGGGGCCCCGCTGGGGCCCTGTAGGGGTGGTCTCATAACGCAGAACGTGTTTTTTCGTTTTGTAAATATTTTTATTGAAATATAGTTACAACTGTCGTAGGTTTCAAAATGGACATTTTAATGCTTATAAGTACCCCAAGGAGGACTTCTTCTGAAAAAGAATCAACAAATTTATCTTAAGGGTAATAAACCCTGTATACACCAGTGCCACACAATGTCTCCAGTATCTCACCTCTATATATGCCAGTGTCAGACAATGTCTAATATCTCCCTTCTATATACGCCAGTGCCAGACAATGTCTAATATCTCACCTCTATATATGCCAGTGTCAGACAATGTCTAATATCTCCCTTCTATATACGCCAGTGCCAGACAATGTCTAATATCTCACCTCTATATATGCCAGTGCCAGACAATGTCTAATATCTCACCTCTATATACGCCAGTGCCAGACAATGTCTAATATCTCACCTCTATATACGCCAGTGCCAGACAATGTCTAATATCTCACCTCTATATATGCCAGTGCCAGACAATGTCTAATATCTCACCTCTATATATGCCAGTGCCAGACAATGTCTAATATCTCACCTCTATATACGCCAGTGCCAGACAATGTCTAATATCTCACCTCTATATATGCCAGTGCCAGACTGCGGCAGTAGTATGCCTGACTGTCATTCCTGGCTGTGAAGGAGTCCTTGCCTGCTGCAGACTGCTGCCTGAGTCTGGCCGTGCTGTCCTTCATCAAGTAGCACACCAGCCACTGGTAGGCCGCCAGAGGCACTGAACAAACAGGGAGCCATGTGTTGGTAGTTAAGGTTTTCAGGTTTGTTGTCTAATACCACACTTAGCAATATTCCAACAAAATGATGTCAACTTGTAAATCATCTAGTCTGGATCAGACATTCCATTTTGAGCCATGATCTACACTGTCAGGGAGATGTCATGTTATGTCATGTGAAGTCACATTATCAACCAACCCCTAGCACTGCATCCTTGTACAATAAGCAGAGGCTGTTGGAGACATCAGATTATACAACTATCACTATGCAAATGATATTGTACAACTATCACAGATTATACAACTATCACTATGCAAATAATATTGTACAACTATCACAGATTATACAACTATCACTATGCAAATAATATTGTACAACTATCACAGATTATACAACTATCACAAAGCAAATAACATAGTACAACTATCACAGATTATATAGCTATCACTATGCAAATAATATTGTACAACTATCACAGATTATATAACTATCACTATGCAAATAACACTGTACAACTATCACAGATTATACAATTGTCAATATAAAATGATCACAGATGGTACAACTATCACGGCGGAATATACTAATGGACTCACCTTGAGGATTTATACAGTCTTCCACGGAGGCACTTGTGAACCTAGATGAGAGAATCTTGTCCAGGTCAGCCAGGAAGTCCAGACTGTTTAACGGCGTGGAGATGCCCTGACCTGTCAGGTAACCAAACCATACTTCTTATCACACAAACAACAAACAACACGTAATGAACCAAATAACCATGGTCAATGGATGAGTCATCCATGTCACAAAGAACCAAACCCCCTGTATCTATGATCTACATACTATAATGGGGCATTTAAATTCATGACCATTCTTAGAGTACACTTTTCGTCTTTTGAACTGCTATCTCATCCACAAGACACTGAACTAGGCCTACCTTTCCTCTGTGCGGCCATCTCATACATGCCGAGAAGATAGTTGCTGGTCTGTTGCAAGATGACATTGTTGTCACCTTCATAGGTCATGTTGGGGTCATGGTCGTTTCGGATGTCACCCAATCGGTTCACTACAACAAGCATGGACTAATGTAGAGGGTGGGATTTCCTAAAGACTGAATATACATGCACTGATGCCAGTGAAATTACTAACCTTAAATCCTCAACTCTGGAAATATATCAGTACGCTTGAAGTAAAAGTGATTTTGGATGGACCGCGCTTGCGCGGGAGGGGAGATCACGTCACTTCCGTTGCCTGTACACTCGTCGATACACGAGGTGGCCGTTCTATAGAATGGCGAATCAACGACTGTCTGATCTCTTTAAGCGGAGCTTGAGGTAATATGCATTAGACCTATGGTAAGGTAAGTTAAAAATTATGTCTCTTTAGCAGGTAAATTGGCAAAATTTGTTGTAGTTTTCAAAACTGAGATTTCTAAAAATTTGCATTTTAATTTTTCCACTAAGCTAAAGTAGCTACCTTTGAAGTATCCGTGACCACCGCAAGCTTCCCCGGCACTCTTGTATGGAGTCTCTGGCCAACCAGCCAGCCAGCGGTTTACTGGCACAGGAGATGGCATGGATCTCCCGACCTAGCTCGGCCTACAACACAACCACACGCCACGTGAGTTGATAAATTTAGTGTCCCCAGGCTCGGGTTCCAACACAAATGTAAGTTTATATGCGAGAGCAATCACAACACGACCGAACACTCGGGTGGCAGGTACGAGACAAGTTTATTACAGGAAACGTTCTATGGGCATGCGCAGACTAAGGGAGATAACTCGTTACACGCTATACGTGTTAGTTCATATTCAAATACACAACACTCCTCCCCACTATTCTTAATCCTCGTAGTGTTGATAGAACTGCTGCTCAATTGAGATTGATTAACACATTTACAGTCTATAACTCGAGCTATGGTGCAGGTGAAGTGTTAACTTATTTACACATTTACACGAACTGAGGAACAATGTCAGTCAATCATATGGGTCTACAAATCCAACTTGTTCGGCGCTCGCCGGATTCATACGGGATTTCTGCGAGGTACTGACGACACTGGTTCCGGAAGACGGTCTGGAATCGGTCGCCCTTCCAGATCACACTCAACAGGAGCAGGATTATCACTGGGATTTCATAGTCGGGAATATTTATGAACTGTTATTCAGAAGAAAATGGCAGGGAAATTTTGTATAGAAAATTTTGACGATTCAAGTGATGATTGGCCAGCGTACTGTGAGAGATTAGAACAGTACTTCATCTTTAGTGAAATTGCGCCAGACAAGAGAGTTGCTGCACGGTTGAGTTTGGTAGGAGGGAAGACTTATAGCTTGTTGCGAGATTTGACTGCACCGGCTAAACCTAAATATTCCCCGACTATGAAATCCCAGTCTCTAATGCCTGTCTTCCCGAGCACGTGGTATGCGCACACGCGAAAAAAAAATGGCGGACGGCTGAATTCAAACTTCATGAAATATTTACAAAATTACCACCCAGTGCCAGTTTTGTGCTCCAACGTAGTTAAAAGCTAGCTTCTATATCGGTAGTGTCCATCCTCGTCGCCACTTTAGTGTCCCCAGGTTCGGGTTCCAACACAAATGTAAGTTTATATGCAAGAGCTATCACAACACGACCGAACACTCGGGTGGCAGGTACGAGACAAGTTTATTACAGGAAACGTTCTATGGGCATGCGTAGACTCGGGGAGATAACTAAGGGTTTTGTAACCCTCCTTGGATCAGTCCATGTACACAAATAGATACTGCCAATGAATTATTCAACTATCAGGTCAACCATTCTACTGGACCACTTTCAGAGATCCTACCTGTTTCTCGCTCTTATCACCGGCCATCAGTCCGATCCTCAACATGACGTAGTCCATGAAGAACGTGGTGGAGAAGTTCTCCATGGCGTACATAGCTGCAATGTAGGGGATGAGTCTCCATTGCTGCAACACGACATCACCATGGATACAACAACTGTCTGTACAAGCTCGATCTTATCCATACGACAAAATGGGGGGAAATTACATCTTTACTGTAGTAAGGATACAGACTTTGATTAAATGTGGACATGCTATATTGAGATCTTCCACCACCCTCAATCTTTTGGTTGCTTGATGCTTAACAGAGCACTCCACGCTCAGTTATTATATTACACAATCAACTGTATGTTTCTGTCTGTTGTTTAACGCCGCACTCAGCAGTATTTTGGCTATATGGCGGTGGTCTGTTGATATTCAGTTCTGGACCAGACAATCCACTGATCAACCACATGAGCATCAACCTATGCAATTGGCATAAGATGACATGTGTCAACAAAGGCTATTGCTTCTCGCATGGGTTGTTAAAGATCAGTTTTAACCTGGATGTTCATGGGTACACAGTCAACTGAGTCTGACTACATCCATTAAGACTCCTAGTACAACAGGATCCTGTGTCCCCTATGTTAACCCCGGCTGCCCGACAACACACTCCTACCTGAAGCTGGTACTCTAGAACAGGGATCTCCCTGTCTGACGGTCCAAACTGTCGGCGCACGGCAGAGTAGCGTACAGCTATGGGTAGGGCCAGCTTCATATTGCAGGTGCACATCCCCGTGATGCCAACTCTCCCACCAGACAGGGCACCAAGGGAGGCGCCAAACCTCTTGCTGGGATCCTGTAACCGTGGCAAACGATGGTGGAATTAGCCCACAACTTAACAATATTAAAAGTAATAGTAATTAATTTGATAACATAAGGCAGTAATAGATCTTCATTTTATCTCAATACAATATTTATGATGTGCTTTTCTTCAATTTTTTCTTTTCTTGACATGACATTTTGCAGTTCCGTGATGGATAAACAGCCAACAGCTGATGTAGAGGTCAAGGCCACTGACAAAGGATATACTTGCATGATAGTTTGGGAGCCATTTTGTTTATGAAGGAATGGGGATAGAGGACTTGTGGACAATTCACATGTACTGCTGTCAACATACCTTGTATGGTGTAATGTAGCGGCCCTCGGGTGTAACATCCCCGAACTTGTCCAACAGGTTTTCACGAGGGATGCGGTAATTGTTGAAAGATACAAATCTGAAAAGTTGAAATGTAGGATTTACCATATCTGAGAATATATTTACTTACCAAAGTACAGATTAATGCTGTCGGAACAAGGAGATACTGACATAGTGCCTTAAAGATCAACACTGTCAGATCAACGTCTACCTGATTGTGTAACAAATGGATCTATGCTGTTCCTGGGTCAGGTATTTGATTGCAGACCAGGAAAGGAAATTATTGGTTGAAGCAGACTATCTGCACACTCACCCATTGTCGATGCCGTTGAGGCCAATCTTCTCTCCCATGTCTCCAACCAGCACCCCGGGGTAGGCCAGCAGTGTCCTTGGATCACGGACAGGAACGGCAAACGTGTGGAGTCCGTGACAAGAGCCATCTGGTGTGTACAACTGAGCGTACAGTATCGCGTGGGTGGCGGACTTGCCAAGGTTCCCCACCCAGATCTTGGTCGCCTCCACATCAGGAGTGTTCAATACAAACTCCTGAAATCATCATTTCATCAATATCAGCGGTAAAAACCTTCCAGGTTCCATGCTGAGGAAACTCATTTTAACAGCCACATTTCTGACCTGATAAACAATACACTAAAAGGTCGTTCTGACCTCAGCCACATTGTTGAATTACTAGAACTGTTATCAAATCTCTAATAAAGTAGAAAGTTTTATACAAGCAGTTACATTGCTATGAAGTATCATAGACCGACATTTCAAACAAACCCTTATTCAGTCATATAATGCTTCCTGAAAATTGTTCGCAAACCAGCTACAGGTACCTTGGTGGAAGGGTCGTAGGTCGCAGTGGTCCTCATAGCCTTCGTGTTGCTGCCATGACTCAACTCAGTCAGAGCAAAGCAGCCAAAATTCTGGAAGGAATTACAAACCTCACTTAGGCCAGACCAATTTTATAATAATAATTATATTTCCCCGCTCAAAAAATAAATCCTAATGTTTTTATTGGCCAAAAATGTAAACTTACAAGAAATTTTGTTTAGATTGTTTTTTGCCCCATATATGCTTCATAAATTGCCAAAGTAAAATACTTTTCGTATTTAAAAGGAATATTACTTTGACTGGTGAATTTTTATTTATTTTTTTTCCCTCCTGCCTTTAGGTTTTCTGTGGACTGAAATCCGTAAAACAAGAAATAAAATTGGTGTGGCCTAACGGAAACAAAACGCATCACTTAAGGTTGACAAATAAAGCATACCAAAACAAGTGAGAAAGTGTAAACCCAAATACAACATATGTTACATTTGACCACTTTAAAGGCAATGTGTATTTACAGTATACGTCAAACGAACTGTAACATTTCATAGCTGACCCCATGTGTATCTTCCCAACATATTGTGTCAGTGAGTGAGTTGGGTTGCCACTTTTAGCAATATTCCAGCAATATCATGGCAGTGACACCAGAAATGGACTTTACACATTGTACCCATGTGGGGAATCGAACCCGGGTCTTAAGCGTGATTAGCCAATGCTTTAACCACTAGGCTACCCCACCACCCCTATTGCCTCAGTTCAAGTAATGGCAGGTTCACAAACTCAAGCAGAGAGTTGGGTTCAGTTGTCCTCCATGAGTTCTACCATCCTTTGGACCGCCTCCGTGGTGTAGTGGTTAGAGCATCCGCCTGTAGAGCGGAAGGTCGCGGGTTCGATCCCCAACCGCTTCATACCAAAAGATGTTAAAATATGGTACTTGTTGGTCCCTGCCTGGCGCTCGGCATTAATGAGTACAACAAGGACTGGTCAGCTCGGAGTCAGTATAATGTGTCTGAGTGGGGTATTCATGCTTCACTGCGGCATGGTATCTCAGTGGGCTAGCACTATAAAACCAGCTTCAGTCTGGGCTAGTACAAGCAGCCGCACATACACATACACACGCATGCACGTCGTCATATGAGCGAAATATTCTCAAGCACGACGATAAACCCAATTTCACCTCACCTCTACCATCCTTTTGTCTTTAGCTGACTACAAACAGACACACTACACCTCAAACCATCCATGAATGATGAGGAACACAGTGTACAAACCCTGTGAAGTACAAGCTGACATCACTCCATGTACCTGGCCTAGCAGTTTACATGCAACACTCACCTCAAATTTCTTGTTGTCTTCCACGAGTTGTTCATGTCTGCGAGACCCCATTGAGGTGACAACTCCACCAAACATCTACATGCAAACAGAAGAACACTTCAATACTCACACAAGTGGCAACAAACACCACTACTTCAGGTTCAGCTGACTATTTTGCCAGCATCAATGGAGATATATTTTTTTCAGATCAGACATCTGTAAGGCCCACACCTTGGATCATTTGAGCAATGCATCTTCAACATAAGCCTTATAGTTTCAGTAGCAGGACCCAGTTTAAGAAAATGAAACCTACTTGCACCTAGTGCAACCTTAGGTGATAACCTTGTTGCACCTAACAAAAACAGGTTGCACCTTATATTCAAGGTACAATAATATAAAATGCTTGAATTTTGGTATTGATGATATAGAAGAGTACAACACAATTATTCTGGTCTGATAACATCATTTTATCTTACTTCATTACATGTTATGCCATGAACAGTAACAGTCATTCTGTGACACTGTCTGTGTAGTGTCGTCAGTCACTGCTCCAAGCTCCTACCTATTCTGTTTTTCCAACAGCAAACTATTAGCAGCACTGGGTAATAATCTTGAGTTGGTATAAATATGAGGTTGCATTTGGCAGGTTGCACCAGTGCTTGTTCTAAATGCTTAAATCAAGCCCTGAATATTTATGTCAAAAACGTAACAGTTTATGTGAAGAAGGTGAGGAAGCTTGACTAGTCTCCAATGAACCATTATTTCAAGGGAATGAAACTACGGTCCCAAAAGTGATAAGGACTTCAAGACAGCAGTCTTGCCATCAACCTTGACGATAACATGCAGCTGTTTATGGATAACAACTTCTTTATCATTTATTCTTGGCTAAAATGTTTCAGGGCTAGTTCTTTCCCCTTCATTTGAAGAAACGATTTTACTTGATGAAGTGAAAGAAGTTGCCCACATTTGGAATAATACTAAAAAGTTATCTATAATAAAGTTCAACAAATTCATGACCTGGATGTATGGCTACAGGGAGACATGCCCTGATTGGAACAATTTTCTGTTCTCTTCCACTGATTGATAACTTATTGACTATCAACAGCTTTAAAAAGCAATGATCAATTTTGAGATTTAAACAAAATCCAAATACAAGTACTCAGGCATAAAGAGCTGGTTCCTTGTACAGCCTGGCTGTAGTTTCTGTACCTACCTCCACAGTGAGCTGGACCTTGGCAGCCATGCTCCAGTCATACATCCCCAAACTGTCGCTGAAGATCTTGTGCTTCAGAGGGTTGGTATACAGCTCACTGTCAGGGAGGAAGTTGTAAGCAAATATCTGCCGAACACGCTGAAACGCCAGTTTGCGTGTCTCTGACAGGCTTGGAGTGGAATACGACCTTGAAAACAGTGGATCATTTTCCAGAGTTTTCCAAATCTTGTTCTGGAATGAAAAGACCAGGAAAGTTCATATTACAACCAGAGAATGACCTGGGTCTGACTATGTTCAAGTCTTAGAGTCTGTCAGTAATGAATGAGGGTCCAAGGCTTGATATGAGGTCAAGTTAGAATCATGTGTCATGTTTAACTCAATTTCCTATAACTGTATTGCTTACCACTGACCCCAGGGACTTACAATGACATGAGTCCATCAAGTGTCAAAGATCAAAAAAACCTTTTTCTGAAACAGGCTTCAAACAGGGAATCAAACCTGGTTCTTTAACATCACTGTCAAAAGTTTAAACCACTTGGCAACCCCATTGTCTAATATGTTCACGCTGTCGAAGAATCTTACAAATCCTGACCTCTGTCTAAACAAAGCCATAATATTGGCCCTCAATCTGACCTCTGTCTAAACAAAGCCATAATGTTGGCCCCCAATCTGACCTCTGTCTAAACAAAGCCATAATGTCGGCCCTCAATCTGACCTCTGTCTAAACAAAGCCATAATGTTGGCCCTCAATCTGACCTCTGTCTAAACAAAGCCATAATGTTGGCCCTCAATCTGACCTCTGTCTAAACAAAGCCATAATGTTGGCCCCCAATCTGACCTCTGTCTAAACAAAGCCATAATGTTGGCCCTCAATCTGACCTCTGTCTAAACAAAGCAATAATGTCGGCCCTCAATCTGACCTCTGCTTAAACAAAGCCATAATGTTGGCCCCCAATCTGACCTCTGTCTAAACAAAGCCATAATGTTGGCCCTCAATCTGACCTCTGTCTAAACAAAGTCATAATGGCGGTTCTCAAACTGGCTTAACACCTGAAGCCTTGATTCTTCCCTTTTGTCTATTCAACAGCTGTTCACTTTTAGTGAGTGATTGAGTTTAATTTTACGCTGCACTCAGCGATATTCCAGCTATATTTACAGCCTGTAAATAATCATGTCTGGACCAGACAATCCAGTGATCAACAGTATGAGCATCAATCTACACAACTGGGATACGATGACATGTGTCAACCAAGTCAGCGAGCCTGACCAATCTTCACGGGTTCTGTTCATTATCAACCCCTATGTTGTCACAACACTTGCAACATATATCAAATTGGCACAGAATATTTGATAACAAACACCATGGCATTAATTTTACACAAAAAATGAAAAAAGAAAATTCATTATAAATTAAATTCCATCTACTATTATCACTCCTTATGGTTTAGGATCCTGTCTACTGACAATACAAATCCTGCATCAGCAGCCCAAGGCCACAGCTGTGACTCGTTCATATCCTGTCACCAACATCTGTAATACCTATTCTGTAGAAAAACTAATCAATCAGCTGGCAATTTTTTCCACAAAAACACTGATGCCATGAGCATGATAATAAGGCCTGGAATTTTAGAAAGTCCACAAATATATTTCCATCCTGGTTGATCATATGATAAAATGTATTTGTGAATATGTCCATGGCAACCATGTATGTGTCTAGGTTACATGTGAAATAGTGCATATTATGCCATGATGGCTTAAACTATGATGGCTTTGAGTGAGTGAGTAAGCTTGGATTTATGCCACTTTTAGCAATATTCCACTAAGGGACTGTTCATAATTTATGGCTGGAGGGGGTGATAATGATTTTTATGGAGAAGTATGAACAATGTAAATGACACCCCCTAAAATGACACACAGACCCCATGTCATGTACGAAATCAATGACACCCCTTTCTTTCTCAAAATTAATAAGCATAAAGTTTTAACATTTCTATGTACAAAATTACTGCCCCTCTCCCCCAAGTTCATGTGTACAACACTGCTGATCCCCCTACCTCCCCAGTACAAAATAGGTGACAAACACCACCCATCCACCCACCCCCTTAAAATCATCATAACCCCCCTGGTCATAAATTAATAACAGTCCCTAATATCACAGCAGGGAACACCAGAAATGGGCTTCACACATTGTACCCATGTGGGGAATCGAACCCGAACGCTTTAACCACAAGGCTACCCGACTGCCCCTTGATGGCTTTGAGGAACAGACCATCTGACAGCACAAACAAGTGTTCGACAAGGCAACAATCGACACTATTGGTATACAACACACACTAAGCCAAGTCACACAGGTTCTTTAACTTCGTTGGAGTAGTGTATATTAGCAGGTAAACAAAACCTATATTCGTTACATTTTGAGTGACTAAGTTCATGATTCATGGCTGGTGTGTGTGTGTGTGTGTGTGTGTGTGTGTGTGTGTGTGTATGTGTGTGTGTCTGTGTGTGTGTGTCTCTCTGTGTGTGTGTGTCTGTGTGTGTGTGTCTCTGTGTGTGTGTGTGTGTGTGTGTGTGTGTGTGTGTGTGTGTGTGTGTGTGTGTGTGTGTGTGTGTGTGTGTGTGTGTGTTGATGATTTTAGGGGGAAGGGGTCACCTATTTTGTTCTGGGGAGCAAGGAGGGGTCAGCAAATGTGTACAAACATATATGTTTAAAATTATGCTAGAAATTATGGGAAGGCGGGGGGTGGCCATTGATTTTGTACATGACATGCAGGGGGGTCACTTATTTTGTACATAAATTTTAGGGGGGGTCATTCACATTGTACATGCTTCTCCATAAAAATCATCATCTACCCCCCTAGCCATAAATTATGAACGGTCCCTCACCTAACATTACATAAACATTCAAAACAGTTCATCCAAATTGCTGGTCTCACACTGACAATCAGTGTAAAAACCTTGCCATACAAAGTCCACCATGTACTGGGGTATCAGTGGGTATCTCTGGGTATCATTCAGGTAACTTCTTCACAAGATAAGTTATCACTCACTGATTGGCGTTGCAAACCTTTCCAAGTACATGTATTACCCAGAACCAACAAGTGCTCAAGTACTGCTGTGAGTTATCTGCCAAAGTGAGCACCTTGGCCTCCATGTACCATATTTGGCGTATTAAACGCCCCATGAACAGCGTCTAAACCTCTAAGTAATCTTTGTAGAACTTGTAAGTGCCTGGTGCTCAAAACAAAACTTGGCTTGACAATCACTATCTTGTAGGGGTGTAATAACACCACAACACAGTATTGTATCATATACAAGACTCACAAATACAATAGAGTGAGTGAGTGAGTATAGTTTTACGCCACTCTTAGCAATATTTCAGCTATATCATTTTGAGGGACATCAGAAATGTGCTTCAGACATTGTGCCCATGTGGGCAATCAAACCCGGTCTTCAGCGTAACGAAGCAAAAGCCTTGACCACTAGGCTATCCCTCCCTCCCCAGACACACACACACACAATTCAACCTTACAACGAACAGAAACTACAGCACCAAAGATAACCTGGTCATTTGTCTCGTGGCATTTGAAGCCATAATCACTGCTTTGTGGAGAACCAAAGAAATGCACATTCTCCCCAACTAAGTGATCGGGTAAGACTTGTCCCCATATCCCCCTAAATTTTAACGATGAGGAAAGATTTCTTTGAGTGGCTTTTTTCGAAGTTGGATATGTCTTTCAGTATGTTCAGATACAATGTAAGAAACATGTTAAAATTCATCCTTATCAGATGAGAAATATATATATTCAGGTGATATGATTTGTAGGGGTGTAGCGATACGCGAATGTATCGATGCGTCGATACATTTTTACTGACGATACGATAAGCGATACATGCTTACGTGTATCGATTCCTATTTTAAAACTTTATCGATTTAAATTTTTATGCTATATCCATCTCCTTCAAAGTCTTGATAGTAAAATTATACGAGACGGCTCCGATAAATAGATATAGCTAGCTTTACTTAAAAAATAAGTTGGAAACTAACAGCTTTTGTGATTGGCTAGACTATTTTGATGGACCAATCAGCGAGCGCCTACGTTGCCGGTAAGGTAATGCTATGAAAAGGCGCAAAAATTATGTATCGCGATACGTATCGTATCGTGACCTTAAAATCGTGATACGTATCGTATCGTGAGATTGGTGTATCGTGACACCCCTAATGATTTGACTAGAATGAAATTTAAGGGGGGATACGGGCAGAAGTCTTTGCAGTGATGGATGGTTCATACTCCACTATCCAAAAATGAAACCGTATGTGGTTGTTCCCGTTCAGCTGATTGTGAGTGGTATTGTGCACAGCGAACTTTTTGCTCCTGTGTATGGTCGTTTCTTATATACTACACACAACAGATATGGGAACACCCTAAAATATGATAGTCGTACATAAACTTAAACGTGGTGAGGTCATTTATACTCTAAGGTAAATGCGACTTTTTGTGTGATTAACAGGCACTTGAAACCACACTTGTTGGAACATGCAGTGAAGCAACTGATTCAATATTCGTTGAGTTCGAGTGAAATGAAACATTGTTAAAAACAGCGAAAAACAAGGATGCTGAAACACACTAGCACCATGTTTGATTCAAACACCCAAACACAACAGCCTAGTGCACGTGGAAGACAGACTTCCCATGCAGCTTGTGGCAACTGGGCACAGGCAGTTGTGAATTGGTTCCGAAGGGCTTGGACCATAACATATCGGTCATCTGCCCTTGATGTTTTTCTGGGTATTCCATAGCGAGGTCTGCCCTTTACTCTACCAGTGGCCTGGAACCTGACCCTCAGTCTGTGAATGACAGAGAGAGACACCTGAAGACGGAGAGCAGCACTTCTTATGGATTCACCATCCTGTAACCATGCAATGGTCCTGCTTCTGTTGCGGGTGCTTAACGGTTTGCGCTGTGGTATGGTGAAGAAGATGTGAGGCTTCAATACTGTCTGTAGCTTCTTTTAAAGGAAATGTTGCCACAAGCTGCATGGGAAGTCTGTCTACCACATGCACTAGGCTGTTGTGTTTGGGCATTTGAATCAAACATGGTGCTAGTGTGTTTCAGTACCCTTGTTTTTCGCTGTTTTTGACAATGTTTCATTTCACTCAAACTCAACAAATATTAAAACAGTTGCTTCACTGCATGTTCCAACATGTCGTTTAAAGTGCCCACTAAGTACACAAAACGTTGCATTTACCTTAGAGTATAAATGCCTCACCATGTTTCAGTTTATATACGACAATCAAATGTTAAGGTGTTCCCATATCTTTTGTTTGTAGTATACAACGCAATCAAATGTATCTCATACAACAATATGACAGTTTTGATTGAGAAAGTGCCATAATGAGGAATGGAAACGTCCTAGGGTATGTTTCTGTATTCTGCTAGGGTACATTTCTGTATACAGCAACGTCCCTGGGGTACCAGAGCTACAGATAACTTTTTGTATCATTGAGTTATTTACTCGCTTGTGTTCATCTCAATTGGATACCCTAATTTTCCTTTTAGTAACTAAATAAATTGTACCCACCTTGCTCAAACTCAATTGGGTATTATGCCACTTCCCATTTTTGTAAAAATATTAAATAGTTTAAATGTTGGTTTTCGTGTTTGTTATTTACAGGGCTCAATTTAAAAGATGTTAACCTACTTGCACCAGGTGAAACCTAAGATAAAAACCTAGTTGCACCAGTCAAATTCCAGTTGCACTGTTTTTATTGCAATATGTAATATCAGAAATATGCTATTGAATTATTTAGATGTTTTATTCAGAAGTTTACCCACAAAAAAATTGACTTGTGCCTGGTGCAAGTTAGACTAATAACTAGGTTGCACTTTGTAATACTGGGTTGCACCAGTGCAAGTAACAAAGCACTTAATCGAGCCCTGATTTATATTTGATCTTTAATATGAGGAACGATAAGAAAGACTTAAAAGGAATTGAGTTTTCACCTAAATATATGCGTAATTTACACAGATACGCATCTTATCTGCACCTCTGGAAACACATCATTAGTACCCGTGCGGACAGTGACCACACCGAACCGTAACCTAAATTTGTGGATAACCTTGATTCGTGGATCACGGAAGTTATCACGCTAGCTCGTAAATTAAGTCTCGACTGGCGTCACGAAGCGGTACTTTTGATGTACATAAAATGCCACGCCTCGCTGACAAAAAAGTTTCAAATCTCTGCATTACACACAAGTACACTAAATATAATTGTCCAGCATTGAGATAAATAGCCTCAGATCACTAATACCACCATTACCAAATTTTATTTTTACAAAATGTCAATTAAAAAAGATACCGTTAGCTCCAACATTCTCACTTCTCGGTGTCTGCTTTCCTTGGTGTCAATACTTACTGCAGTGGGATGTCGTACATACCGACTACGTAATCCACGAAACAACGTGACGTCACTTTTTGCGGTCACACAAATGGTTGATGATTGCAAATGGCTTCCGTAAACAAACGTTTCATTCACAAGTGGAATGTTAGACATTTTCAGTTTGCTGAATCAATGAACATAATAATCAGTGCGTATACAAAATGAAATCATGCATTTAAAATATGAATTTCGCTGCACTTCCGTTATATCCACGAATCAAGGTTACGCGAATGTAACAACTTTGTAGCAACATCTGCATCAGGCAAAAGTAACTGCTGTGTTCACATGGTACTGCATGCTGGTCTAATAATTCATTTGTTTACTGGACAGTGTTTTATATTAAAAAATAATATCAAAAAGGATATATTAATTTATAGAATTTGTGTTTTACGTGTATAACTGCTGCTGAAGAGGTCGTAGTCGGCACGGGTACTACAGATATGTACCGCAGGTACGTTTCTGTACTGGCCATAATGAGAATACAGAAACGTACCTTAGGACGATTCCATTCCCATTCTTGATCGGAACTGTCATACTGTTATATTAGATACATTTGATTGCGTTATGGAAGTAATGAGAATACACAGTAACGGATATTTCGCGATGCATATGAATACCACTCGCAATCAGTTGAACAGGAACAACTACATACGGTTTCGGGTTTGGATTGCGGAATATGGACTCGTCCGCCTTTTAGGGTACCAGGTACGTTTCTGTATTTTGACTTTGTTTAGGGTACATATCTGTATACAGAAACGTACCTGGGGTACATATCTGCAGTACCTGTGCCGACAACGACCCCTTCAGCGTAACTGCTAACAAAACAACACTGAAGAGTGACAACAGTAACACATTTATACCACATAAAACAATAATAATTATTATAATATAACTGACAGACAACTAAATGAAGAGACGTTTAGTACCATACATGAAGCTATTTTGCTCACCTTGTGATATGATACGATACATATAGGGTTAAAATCTAAATTTCAAGGTAATCAACGCTTTGTTCGATTCAGTTACCTTAAAACGGATCACATCTTCACCGTCCAGGAAAACTCGCATTTGTTTCCAGTCAAAGGACGCCTTTTTTCTGTAGAGATCCAGTGGCCCAGACTTGAAATCTTTCATAATATCGAGATTGTTGACATCGTCGGACGGGTTTTCATAGGGTTCAGGTGCTGCCGTGTTCACTGACAACCCGTTTGCAGTGGGATTCGGCTTGATATTACGTCCTGCTTTGCCCGACATGTTCTTCGCGGTTCTAAATCTAAAGTTTCCTCAACGTTTCGTTTCACAGATCGGAATAAATATGTCCTGTGCAGTACGAATGGATAGGATCAAAGTTCGTTTCAGCACATGAATCAACTCACGTACGGAAGTATGCAAAAGTGGGACTACGTGGCAGTTATTGCGAAAAAGAATTCTTTATGACATTCATGCGTAGCTTCACAAGCTGTGGCGATTAAAACACAGAGACTTCTTATGTCTCTGCCGTAACAAGTTTTCTCTATTTTATATTAACAAATATAACTCACAAGACAGAGTATTTTATAAAGTTAACAGGCGTGATATGATTCACTCATTTGTCAATGAGTTATTATATATAATTTTCTCAATAACTTATAAAAGATAACATTACACTAAACACGAGCCATCATTCAAGAGTTTGCAATGTCTGTGTGACGTATCACTGGCCTCCTCGTGTTTGTATTACATCCCATCAATCTAGTCTCGTCGTGTTTGTATTACATCCCATCAATCAGTATCTAGTATCATGCTGTTTTGTTGTGTATCACTGGTATTACATCCCATCAATAGTATCATGTAGTTTTATCACTGGCCTCCTCGTGTTTGTATTACATCCCATCAATCTAGTATCATGTTGTTTTAGTGTATCACTGGCCTCCTCGTGTTTGTATTACATCCCATCAATCTAGTATCATGTTGTTTTAGTGTATCACTGGCCTCATGTTGTTATTACATATTCTTTCCTCAACATTGTTAAACTTGTTATATATGTTTTCTTTGTAAGTGCCCGATGTATGTTTGTGTGTGTGTGTGTGTGTGTTTGTGTGTGTCCCCCCTTATACTCCCTACCATTCACCTGATGAAGGAGCAAGCATACAGTCCTAAACGGCGTGATATTCACAATAAAGAAGTTGACATCCCAAAAATCTTGCTTTAATTTCCTGTGTGACGTAACACACTATATTTCAGTTGATTTGAAGTTTTACGTCATGTGCTTGTGCTGGTGCATCGGCAATGTTTCAGCCAAACAGCAACGAGACGAAGTCTGTGCACACGTATACACATTTTAATTACAAAGTTTAAATGAGGTTCTTAAACTACATACTCCTTCATTACACTACTATCTACAAAGAGAAAATGTCTCATCACACCCCGAGTGTGAGCACTGCCTTTTAACACAGAACAATCTACCTATTTTGGTATAGTTAACTGTTGCATTGTTTTTGTGTTAATGGTTTATAAAGAAGTTCCCGTCGAAACACACACGCACGCACGTTCACACTGTACTTTACTAAGAAAATGTATTTCAAACACTATTATAACACCTTTGTTACATTTGACCACTATCTATATAGCAATCATTATATGTGTATGCAGATATTTTTCAAAATCGAGCGCTCTATTTGTTAAACAGAGATTGCGAAACAATATTTTAGTAATGTCCCACATGAATTGATCAATACAATAAAAACACATGGTTAAATATAATATCCACCCAAAGGGTCTACGAGACACAAGTGTGAATATACTATGCATATTTACCAGATAATGATATTAGGCTACTGTTATAAAGACATACCGTAGCGCAGAAAATAGGATCAATAAACTTACGAGACGAAAGAAGTATTTATGCCAAGTTCGGGTGTGCTGCTCATCCACATTGTATGAAATCGAACGCTAGTCCAAGTTACCTGTCCTTTAAACACAAAGGACACAAGTCTGTTTGACTAGAAAGTGTCCCCATGAATTGCTAAATAGATCAGTTTAGAAAGGTAGTCAATAAATATTACGAGGAAGATGTTCATGATACCCTGTACCCAAACACCTTTTCAGCTATTAGAAATTGTCATGCATCGCAGAAAAAGTTGTTTAACAATCTTGACACAAATGGATGACTGTCACTTATAGTCTGACATAAGATAACACATTATTCGTGCTGCTGAATATATGAACCCAAATTATGATTCATATGACTTAACATGACCCATGTGTTAACCTACAGCCTCTCTCGACAAGGACAACTCTGAAATAAAAGAAAGGACATTGAAGATATTTTATGATTGCTTCAGTTACCTTTATCCACGAACGTGTCTCAATCTACGAATGCTTCAGTTACCTTTATCCACGAGCGTGTCTCAATCTACGAATGCTTCAGTTACCTTTATCCACGAGCGTGTCTCAATCTACGAATGCTTCAGTTACCTTTATCCACGTGCGTGTCTCCATCTACGAATGCCTCAGTTACCTTTATCCACGTGCGTGACTCAATCTACGAATGCTTCAGTTACCTTTATCCACGAGCGTGTCTCAATCTACGAATGCTTCAGTTACCTTTATCCACGTGCGTGTCTCCATCTACGAATGCTACAGTTACCTTTATCCACGTGCGTGTCTCACTCTACGAATGCTTCAGTTACCTTTATCCACGTGCGTGTCTCACTCTACGAATGCCTCAGTTACCTTTATCCACGAGCGTGTCTCCATCTACGAATGCCTCAGTTACCTTTATCCACGAGCGTGTCTTAATCTACGAATGCCTCAGTTACCTTTATCCACGTGCGTGTCTCAATCTACGAATGCCTCAGTTACCTTTATCCACGTGCGTGTCTCAATCTACGAAGGGGCGGTGGGGTAGCCTAGTGGTTAAAGCGTTGGCTCGTCACGCCGAAGACCCGGGTTCGATTCCCCACATGGGCACAATGTGTTGAGCCCATTTCTGGTGTCCCCCGCCGTGATATTGCTGGAATATTGCTAAAAGCGGCGTAAAACTAAACTCAGTCAGTCAGGCAATCTACGAATGTTTCAGTTACCTTTATCCACGTGCGTGTCTCAATCTACGAATGCTTCAGTTACCTTTATCCACGTGCGTGTCTCCATCTACGAATGCTTCAGTTACCTTTATCCACGTGCGTGTCTCAATCTACGAATGTTTCAGTTACCTTTATCCACGTGCGTGTCTCCATCTACGAATGCTTCAGTTACCTTTATCCACGAGCGTGTCTCAATCTACGAATGTTTCAGTTACCTTTATCCACGTGCGTGTCTCCATCTACGAATGTTTCAGTTACCCTTATCCACGAGCGTGTCTCCATCTACGAATGTTTCAGTTACCTATATCCACGTGCGTGTCTCCACCTACGAATGCTCCAGTTACCTTTATCCACGAGCGTGTCTCCATCTACGAATGCTTCAGTTACCTTTTTCACCAATGATTTTATCCATTAATTGTTACTCAACTTCAAATTATGTTTCCAGGCTTACAAAATATTACTTTCCAACATTTTAGGAACATAATCTCATGCATGTCTTTGTATTCATGTCTGTATGCTTATTGAACTGTTATCGTGTTATACATGTTTGGTTTGTCTCTAAGTGTATGGTACTTGATTACGTACACACTTTTTTTAAGTTTCCTTTCCTAAATCTATACACATTTTAAACTGTGGCGAAATTAACTCCAAGTCTCATGACTTTTGTAGAGAGATTGTTCGTCAATAATTTCGTACGTGAGAATGGCAATGGAAACTGTACGAGGTAGTTTCGTCCCATGTTAATGTAGAGTTTTTGTTGTTGTTTGGTGTGCTGCGGCTTGTGTTCAAGTAGGTATATGGGGTAACGATTGCTTGAGAAACCAACCGCACTTGTAGGAAACTATTGGTAAGAGAACATACCACAGACAACAGACACACAACGTTCAAACCCCAATCCATCCCACCACATCATCCTACGAGGTGGACACGAACGTCTCATGCAGTCCTGTGACGTTCTGGCGCGGAGCGTTCATTGCAATATCGGGATCGCAGGATCCATACTCGATTATTTACCGGCCGGCGTCACACATCTGACATAACGCTCACCTGTATTTGTGCTGTCAGGGTCTTGATCCACAAACAGCGTTCGTAACGTTACGACCAGTCGTAACTCTATAGTTTATCTTAGGCTTACGTATGGCGTAGCCCTAAGAATACTTTGTGGCTCGGGATCCAGGATTCATAGCTGGTCATTTCATTCCATGTATATGGTCTCTGGAAGCAAAATAAGTGACACTATGTCTGTTGAAATCAGGAGCGAAAGTTGTAACACAGTACAAATATCTAGGCATTATTATCCACAATAAACTACAGTGGGGTCCAAACACTGATTTCATTTTAAGAAATGCCATCAAATATAATCTTATACGAAACCGAGATTATTTAACGCTAGCAAAGAGGTGGTGCTGTTGTTTTATCGTTGTTTTATTGAAAATATTTTAACCTTTTCAATTCAACGCTGGTATGGCTCTCTTAATATCAAAAGCACAATTAATCGAATCTTAACAAAATCATTTTAATTGCACGTAAAATCTTTTGGGTGTCTGTTTCGGATTTACCTTCTCTTTTTGATTCCCGTGTTCTTAACCTCGCCAAGACGCGCCAATCCCTCTGTGACCGTACGATGGACTTCTGCCCATTCTCTCTGCAGTCGGTTAATGAAGAAGATGACCTATGCAGCCGGCGAACACGTCGCCCGATGATGTCCCAGACGTCGTCGATGGGGAAAGGTCAGACATATTGCAAAAAGCGACCTGAGTATCATACGGTTATGTTAAAGCACGGGGGTTACGCTCACCTTTCTGCCATCGGGGACCACCTGGGTCCTGTTTCACAAAGTTACCGTAGCGCTACGACTGTCGTACGTCCTATACTGTAACATAGACTTACGACAGTCGTAGTGCTACGATAGTTTTGTGAAACGGAGCCCAGGGTCCCGATCCACAAAGCGTTCGTAACGTTACGGCCTGTCGTAGCTCTATAGTTTATCGTAGGTTTACGAATGCCATAGAATGCTTTGTAGATCGAGACCCAGGGCACATAGCTGGTAATTCCATTCTGTTGCTATATTGTCTGGTGGTAGTCGACAAACGGACCAGCATGGTAGGATCGGCTCCGCTGTGTTGTCTGGGTAGTACTGTCCGGTAACCCTTCCATCGACTATGAACCCTGGTCTTCCAGCAGTCACAACTATCCCGCCCCATATTATTACAGACCAACACCCAAACTGTCATGTTGCTGTATGTTGACGTTAGGGACGTCCCCAGACACATGCACCAAACCTGAACCTAAAACCAGATAAATCTGGAAACATTACAAAAGAAA